GGATCGGTTTGGATTGGATCGGTTATCGGTTTAATATGAAGCTCTACAAAGATAAAATTTTCGGTTTTTCGGTTATCGGTTTTTCGGTTTTTCGATTCGGTCACCGCGGTTTGAATCGGTTTGGATCGGTTGATGAACACTCCTACTTTTTTTTGTCCATTTTATTCTGAATATTCTTTTAGCACCATATGCGGTGGCGGACTCAGAAATTTTTCCTGTGGAGGGCTAAATATTAAACATTTATTTCTCTCTTCAAACATAATATATGAGAGGCCAAAATACGAAAAATTAAAGGGGTAGGATATTCTTACACCGGTGTAAGAGTTAGAAGTCTTACACTCAATCTTAACCATTGATTCACTTGTATCCAATGGCTCACATTATCAAAAACTTTGAGCCCTTAGATATAAATAGAATCAACGGACGATATTGAGAGTGTAACTTACACTGGTGTAAAATGATCCTGACCCAAAATTAAATATTTGTTCCTCTCTTAAACCACAATATGTGAGAGGCTGAAACATCAATTCAGAAAATATAACTCATAAATACCTCTTTTAACTTGTTATAGAGAGAAAGAAGGAGACAGAGAGAGAGGTGAAAGATGTCACAGTAAAATCTACTATCAATTTGAAAAAACTACACCTTTTAAACCCCTAAAATGAACATTTTTTATGCAAAGAAAACAAAGAAAAAGAGAAGAGAGCAAATGTTTAGATTTCACAAAAAATATGTACTAATTACTATAATCTAAATAGATAATTCAAAGCAGACCCCTCTCATTTCTTAATCTCTTTTTCTATTTACTCATTGTTAGCCCAACAAGAAAAAAAGTCAAAGATAAATCAGAAGAGACAAATTGTCAAGAAGCACAATCACCAAAAGCATTATGCCCTTGACTTCCCTCTCTGTCACGAATCATCAGAAAAGGAGAGGGATCGAAAGAATAAGATTCATTCTTTCATAAGACTCTCGGACTTCTTATTTTTATTCATGGATGAGAATATTTGTGCTAACATCTAAGCATAATAAAAGTTGAAACTGTAAGTTTCAAGACGAGGTTTAAACTATAATTTAAGGGGAATGTTATATTTACAAACTTTTTCTTTAGAAACTCTTACAAATTACACTGTGTCTGACCGTCATACTTTAATCAAGAGTGTATGATTGGTCATACTTAATGTAATTTGTAAAAAAAATTTGTAAATAGATCTTTCCCCATAATTTAATGCTAATTCCATATGCTAATTGTTACCACCATGTTTGTGCCAACAAACAAGCACCACGTAGCTAAAAGAATTTGAACTAAGAGAAACCATGTAGCTCTATTGGTGGTCATTTATACTCCCAACATGATGTAATCTTAAATAAACCTATTTTTTGTTAAAGCAAAAAAAGACAAGAAAGTGCCAATCATGGTACTGCACTCTTTCTCATTCTTTTTTTTGTTTTGTTCATTTCGTTAACTTTCTTGGAGGGAGAAAAAATACAATCAGAGTTAAAGGGGTTTCAATAGATATAGGACCTGAGAATATAAAGGAGCTCTATAAACTCTCTGCGGTGGGAGAAAACTACTTCACATTAATGAAAAGAAAAAATGGAGATTTCTTGCATTATACTTATGTTAAAAAATTCTTCTATGTACCAAAAAAAAAATTTCTTCAAATTTTGAGGGAGGCGGCCGCCTACCCTAGCACCTCCCTCGGTCCGCCCCAGACCATATGGATCCTTTAAAATCTCCTACAACACATATAAAAAACTAGTTATGAGAAAACTAATGTGTTTAAATATGTTAATTTATAAATGTTTTAATTATTTGTATTGTATAAAATTGAATTGCTTCATATATATATTGGTAATAAGAGAGGGCCATAGACCCAAACAGAGAGAATTGCTTCATATATTAAATTAAAGAGTAATTTAAAAATTTATTTGTTGTAAGGCAAAGACATATTTTTGTGTTCAAAACACATAAAAATAAAGAATTAATAAAAAAAATGCGGAAACTATAACTTTTAGGAAAAAGCTATTTTCTATGTGAAAAGAAAAAGTCGACAATTTCTTGGCTAAGGTAAAGCTTACAAACTAAGTAATTACTTTCTTTTATTTATTTATCTTAATAAAATATATAGAAAATACAAAAAGGGATCAACAAGGTTAATAATAACAACGTGGTTGAAGAAAAACATATAAGATTAATTTAGAGATTTTTAATAATTATATGATGGTTCGTATGAATACAAATATTTACAATTTTAAAATATTATAAATATATAGAAAATAATAATTGATATACAATATTTTAAAATAATTTAATGAATACAACCAACTTGACACAACATGATAAATTGATGCCAGCTAGTCAAGTTGAATTTACGTAGTCAGTTTACTAAATGCACGCCGTTATTAATTAGTCTACATCTTTTATTTTTTGGGATACTTATTATACAGTTTGGTATAATATTTGTCCCAATAAGAAGTTATTTACCTTCCCTTTTATTTAATTATATAGTATATTTGAAGACTGAAGCATTTAGACTAATATATAATTGAAGCTTATATCAATTAAATTATAAGTTTTGTTGGGATTAAATTTATTTTACACGGAAAGCTAAGACATAGTACCTTGTTTTTGTTAGGTAACAGAGTATCGTGCAGCTAAAATAGAGCTGAAAGAAATAGGAGTTTCAAGATACTACTAATCATATTAATTGGGTAGGTAAGTGTAAACCAGTGGGAGTCTTTTTTTGTTATACATCGGTGACTAATTAAATAACATCTCACTTTTCTAGAAACCTATCTTGATTGCACCATCAAGAAAGTAATAAATACGACAATTGAAGTGACATACAAAGTTTAGGTAAAAAATTTAATTTGGGAAAAAACCATGGACAAGATCAAAAAAGACTTTTATTATATGGAAGAAATTACGCCTCTTTCTAAAATACAAACACAGACAAATATCACTCATAGCATAAGAATGCACCTCACTTAAACTAAAAGTCAAGAACACTAGGGTGTTTTTCTCTCCAAGGAAAACACTCTCTTAAATAAGGAAATTTTGGGATTTTAGGGGATTTTTTTTAAACAGGACTTTAGGGTCTTCGATTCGGTCGAGGTACTAAATTATTGGATTATTGATATACAAAAAAAAATTTGGATTATTGGTTCAACCGATGGATCATTAGTTCAACTGATGAGTCATTGGTTCAATCGATTTAATTAAATTTATATAATAAATATATTATAAGATGTATTTTGACCATTGATAGTAGCCTAATAGTAAGTGATACCACTTAGGGTTGGCAAAACGGGCCAACCCGGCTCGACCCACATGCAACCCGAAAAAAAAAGAGTCGGGTTAAGGTTGGCTCGAAAAAAAAATGAGCCAGAAAATCTAACCCAATCCGACCCGAGTCGGGTTAGGGTTGACTCAAAAATATGGCTCGTGGGTTGGCTTAAAAAATAGCTCGCAAGTTGGCTAAAAAATTGACCTGCGGGTTGGCTCGAAAATTACTCGCGGGTTAGCTCATTTTCAGCCTATTTAAATGGACATGTAGTATCAATGCACTAATTATGTGGCTTCCATCAGCTTAAACAAAGGGTTACAAAATGAGAAATAAAAGAAAAATATTTTAGTTTTGACTTTTTTTCACAACAAATTAGCACCAACATCAAGAAACAATCAGAACCACTTGCTACCAAGTGAGTAAGATATTTGAACCAAACAGAACCAGCACAGCCTAACAATATAAAAATGTCATGGATGTGAGAAGATTAAGGACTTAGGTTTAGAGAAAGAAGAAAGATGATGACAGCATGTGTAAGTTTTTTTGTCCATTTTTGTATATTGTACGTTGTTTTTTATATATAAAAAAAAACTCAACCCGCGAACTAACTCATTTGACCCATAGGTTGTCAGAACCACTTGCTACCAAGTGAGTAAGATATTTGAACCAAACAGAACCAGCACAGCCTAACAATATAAAAATGTCATGGATGTGAGAAGATTAAGGACTTAGGTTTAGAGAAAGAAGAAAGATGATGACAGCATGTGTAAGTTTTTTTGTCCATTTTTGTATATTGTACGTTGTTTTTTATATATAAAAAAAACTCAACCCGCGAACTAACTCATTTGACCCATAGGTTGTCAGAACCACTTGCTACCAAGTGAGTAAGATATTTGAACCAAATAGAACCAGCACAGCCTAACAATATAAAAATGTCAGGGATGTGAGAAGATTAAGGACTTAGGTTTAGAGAAAGAAGAAAGATGATGACAGCATGTGTAAGTTTTTTTGTCCATTTTTGTATATTATATGTTGTTTTTTATATATAAAAAAAACTCAACCCGCGAACTAACTCATTTGACCCATAGGTTGGTTCATTTTTTCCAGAGTTGACTCGGATCGAGTTGGTTCGAATTGACAGTTGATTTTTATCAATCCAATCCTACTCATTTTTAACAGATTATAAGCCAAACCGAGGCTTGTTTTTGACAACTTTAATACCACTACTCACTCCGTTGAACTGGGTTCGTTTCCCAGCCTTCAAAGTCGTCATTGCATACGTCAGTTTTTTCTTAGTTTAGTCTTAAAACTTGTAATTTAATTGATATAAACGTGCAGTTTGCAAAATCAAATCAATAGGTGAGCATATATATTAATAAATGCACATCAAACATTTGATTTTTTAAACAAAGGGAATATAATTTTTCATATTATATAAAATAATTGCAACACATAAAAAAATTGATGAGACCAACACGTGAATTAAAATATATCAGCAACTGCTTGAGCTGACATTAATTCACTCACTATAAATACGTGAAACTGATATAAGAGGAATGAACCCTAAACATACTTTGATAAACTCAATCAAAAGTTTGAATACAAATGACGATTTCCTATACCTCAAACCCGTTTCTCCTCTTGTTCTTCTTCTTCACATGCACTACCTTCATATGTCTCTCTTCTAGTATCCCGAGCCAGTACTCCATAATGGGTGCTAACCTGCAGGACGAGCTTCCTTCACAGGATGAAGTCATTGAACTGTTCCTATTATGGAAGAAGGAGCATGGACGGGTCTACAAAGACCTAGAAGAGATGGCAAAGAAATTTGAGATTTTCGTGTCCAATTTGAAATACATTACGGAGTTTAATGAAAAGAGAAGGTCTCCTTCTAGCTGCCTTTTTGGTTTGAACAAGTTTGCTGATTGGAGTCCCAAGGAATTCCAAGAAACCTACTTAGGCGACTTCGACATTACGCCCAAAGAGCACAGTAACGTGAAGCAGAATAATCTATACCATGCAGACGTGCCTGAATCCCTAGATTGGAGGAAATATGGAGTCGTGACTGGAGTTAAGGACCAAGGGCCATGTGGTAAGATTTCTGATAATATAATAATGTCAGAGAAGTATAAAAATCATTCATAAATATTCACTTACCATGAGCTGTTGTTTATTATGGTATCAAAGGTCCGTGACCATGCAGTTACGAGTTGGAAGCATTAACGAGCTTTCACTTGGCGTTTGCATGGTATAAACTGTTGAGATATTGAATTGTCATGAGTCTCATATTGGTTAATAATGAGCTAAGTGAAGATATATAAGTGGAAAGACCCATGAACCTTATAAGATTTTGAGTTGAAATGTTGTGTCAGAAAGTATATAATATGTTAGTTTTTAACAAACATGCAGTTTGTTTTAATCATTTGGTGAAGGTGCAGTTTCAAATGTATATATGCTTATCAGTCTTGGATTTACTTGGAAAAAGAACAAAAAATTAACATAGTCATGAAAAATCAAATTGAGATATAGAACTTTCCAATTAAGATGCGAATCCAAGGATATTGTTTTTGATAGTGCTATTTTTAATTTTGGTTTTCTCTATTATACAATTCGTAAAAAAAATTCAATATCGATTTTTCTAACTAATATTATATATAGTTATTTGAAACGCGGAAGGTTATAGTTAGTATCTCTTTTTCTTATTATCTCTTACTATTAAATTTTAATCGTTGATTTTCGTTCATCTAACGGTTATAATTTATTGGGTCATATTTATTAATTAATTATTAATTTTCAATAAATTATAGCAGTTAGATTGACGAAAATAAACAGTTAAGATTTGATAGTAAGAGTGTAGTAAAAAATAAAGAGGTAATAACTATGACATCTCCATCTCCCGTTTGAAATATATATACATATCTTCTTTTACATGTTAGTTGAAATAAGAATCAAAATGTTGATCAAGGACTCAATGATAGAACTCTAATACGCTTTGTTGTTATTAGGAAGCTGTTGGGCATTCTCTGCCGCTGGCGGTATTGAAGGAATACATGCGTTAACCACAGGAAGTCTTATTAGCCTCTCTGAACAAGAGCTTTTGGATTGTGAGACAGCAAGCAGTGGCTGTAGTGGCGGATATAAGGATAAGGCATTAGCTTGGGTTATAAGAAATGGTGGGATTTCTTCAGAAATTGATTATCCCTATCAAGCAAAACAGGGTGCCTGTAAATCTTCCGAGGTCTCGTTTTTTATCAACTGCTTCTATCTATCATTAAAAGCAATGTTATAACTTATAATATGTATTTTTTTTTTTGGATTTAGTGGATATGCAATGACTATATCTAAGAATTTGTGTGATACACCAGAGTACAATTTGTGTGGTATACCGTTCTACTATGATGTACTTCCGAAAATACATAATAATATTTATTATAACTATGTTGTTCGGAAAATACATATTGGACCGCACCAATTTTTAGGTGCCGTTACTCTACAAATCATTTTGTCTTTTTGTTTTATACTTCTTCTTGTTTAATTTTTGAGTGCTCACCGTTTTTTCTTGATGCAGGTTCCAAACGTTGCAAGCATTGATGGCTATGTAAACGTAGATCGATCAGACAATGGGCTCTTGGATGCTACTAAGCACCAGCCTATTAGTGTGTCTGTTAATGCAACCGGCTTTCAATTTTACAAGAGTGTTAGTCCCTTTATATTATCAATGATAATTTATTTACTTGTTCGTAAGACTAGAGCATCACTTTTTTTTTTTCCTTGACTCCATCACTAGGGAATATTTGACGGTCCCGGCTGTGCAAATTCTACGTCTACAAATCATGCGGTGATAGTAGTGGGATATGATTCGCTGAACGGTGAAGATTATTGGATCGTAAAGAATTCATGGGGTAAAGATTGGGGAATAGATGGATACATATGGATCAAAAGAAATACTGGTTTACCATATGGGGTGTGTGCAATCAATGCCAAGGCTCTTTACCCAACTATTACCTCGAAGCATGTTCAAGTATAATTTCTGTTTCATATGTAAGTGTGTATAGCCAGACACTCTGTAGTTCTGTTTTAAACAGCTAAGTTATTCACCCACTGTGTAACAGAGGTCTTAGGCATAAATAAATGGAGAGATATGGAATTTCTCCTCAATGATGTAATATTAAGCTATCAGTGTACTCTATATCATCAAATAATGTATGATATTTCTACAACTTGCATTGATTGTGTTATGTGTTGTTTCCACACAACAAAATATAAATGTTGTTGATAAGGCATCTGTCTTGGAGACAGAGATGTTTAGTCTAATAGGCTGGTATGTTTATCTTGGATCTAGTACCCTCTCCAAGGTATCTATGAAGGAGATAGCCTTGAGCCAAGTAGAACTATGCACAACGAACTAATAACGGTTTTTGCCAATGGGATATGTGTGCGCATAGTTATAGCATAACAGTAAGGGAGAGAGCGTAACGTACATTTAAGGTTTACCGTTTATTTATGATGTGGACCTTTAGTATCTGTGATACGCTGTCGTATTAGGATTAATATCCTTACTAGATACTATCTATAATTATATTTGATTTAAATCTCAGGTTGCGCATTATTGAACCTGTCATTCAATGACCCCTTATATGGGTCCATAACAATAAGAGTTTTATAATATGCATGTTCTTCGAGTCCGAACTCATTTTTGTACCTAAAACGAGACACGGATATATTGAAATTGCAATATGTTTGTGAAGGCAGCCTTCAGGATAAGATACACTTATGAGTTCTGATGTATAGTTTGTGAGAATTGCAGTTCCAGTATCGTAATATTGTTGCCATCGGTGCAATATAGATCAAACTTTTAGGGTCTGTTTGAGAGTTTTGAGGGCAAGGGAATACAAGGGAAAAAAAATGATGGGTATTTCTTTCCTTTACGTAGGTTGTAAAACTATGGCCAGTGACCGAAGGGCCGTGGTGCAAGATAAGCATGCAATGATAATGGTTATGGATGGGTTAAGAATAAGGCTATTATTGTCTTAATATTATTAAGGGAAAAATATTTATCCTTTTTTGGAGTTTGAAGGAGAAGGAAAGGAAAAGAATTTAAGGGAGAGAAAATGAAGGGTATTCTCTTCCCTTATTTAGGAGTTAAAATCTCTTAAATTGGGAGAACTTTAATTATAAGAATAAGAAGAATTTTGGTGGGTTTTGTGAAAATATTCAAATCTTCCATTCTTTTTCTTTCCCTACTAAAACTAACTCTCAAACAAGCTATAAAGGGACACAAGTTTATGTCCTTTTAGTGATTAACACTATATATTATGGGTAGTATATAATTATAGGATTTAATATTTCTAAAGTGAATGTAGATAAGTTATCTACATTCACTCTCAAAACGACGTCGTTTTAGGTTTAAAAATTAAAAAATTATAATGAAAAAGACTATTATAACCCTGAAATAAATTATAATTACAAAAATACATTGATTTCCGCCTCAAAACGACGTCGTTTTGGGCTCACTGTAGATAAGTTATCTACATTGACTGTAGAAAAAGCAAGCTCGTAATTATAATATGAAAAATAACTTTTTTTTCTCTCTCCTCAGTCACTTCAGCTGACATGGAGAGAGAAAAAAAATATTTTTTCATATTATAACTATGTACTATCCATAATACATAGTGTTAATCACTAAAAGGACACACACTTAACCCTATTATTAACTATGTTAAATTATTTTAGAATTATAGTTTAAGGGGGTTAATTGATTCAATTGAAAGTTTAAGGTGACATTTTCAAACAACACAGATATAAGTATAAGGTGGTTTTGTGTAATTCATCCAATTAATTTTGATAATCTGATATTATATTCATTTTTTTATTAATACCTAATTACATATAGTCATTAAATTAAAAGACCTTACATAACTATAACAGTATCTTGGGAATAATGTGACATAATCCAGGAGCCATGTCAAGAAAAGTAACTTCATTACACCAGGAACGATCATCCAAGAAAAGACCAAGAAATTTTATTTCTTTTACGCCTGACATGAATAGTTTGAGTATAAAAAATAACTTGGGGATTGTATTGTAATTAGCAAAAGCGAACCCAATTCTCCCAAGAATTACCGAGATGAGCAAAAGGGTAAAAAAATATGTTAGTATAAAAAGGTAGTAGTTGATTAACAAAGAAAAAAAAAAGTTAATATTCAAATCACTTATCGCTATTGACAAAATGCATTATAACTTTTTAGGTGTTCATAGGTTCAATTATCATCTCATGCAACTTTTTAAATATTCAATCACATATAGCATAGCACTTTACAAACACACGTGACATTGTAACAAAAAGTAACAAGAACACCAATAGCTAAGCTAAGAGTAATACTTAGGGTGTGTATGACAATCATTCTATTTACTGACACTGTTTCAGAAAAGAAACAATTCTTTTCTATTTCTGTGCCTTGGAACAGTTTCTGAAAAAAAAATGTGTTTGATAACATGTTCTATTTTCATTCTAAGAATGAGAATTGCGTTTGATAACACAACAAATAATATAATAAAAAATAATTCCTGTTAAACATAAAAAATTTTTGGATCATCACTTTCCTTTTTATATGGTGATGGTGGCAGCGGCAGAGGTGGCGTGGTGGTGGTGATAATGGTGGTGGTGGTAATGGTGTTGATGGTGGTTGCATAGTCGTGGTGGCGGTGGCGGTGGCAGTGATGGTGAAGGTAGTGGTAGTGGTGGTGGCATGGTGGTAACGACAATGGCTGCGGCAGCGGAGGTGGTAATGGTGGCATAGTGGTGGTGGTGGTTGGTGGGGAGAGTGACCATTTTGCCACGTTTGGACAAAAAAATTACCAGACTGCCACGCCAACAGTAAATTTTGCCAAAATGCCACGCGGCATAATTCGCTACACAGTGTAGCGAATTATGTATGCAAGTAATTCGCTACACAGTGTAGCGAAATATGCCACGTCAGAACCACAAATGCCACATGTCAAATTTTGCCAAATTCGCTACCCTATGTAGCGAATTTTGCAAAATTTGACATGTGGCATTTTTGGTTCTGTGCGTTCTGATGTGGCACATTTCGCTACACTGTGTAGCGAATTATGCCGCGTGACAGTTTGGGAAATTTTACTGTTCGCGTGGCATTCTGGTAATTTTTTTGCCAAAGCGTGGCATTTTGGTCACTCTCCCTGGTTGATGGCGGCAATGGTGGTGGTGGCATGGTAGTGGTAGTGACAGTAGTGGCTGCGGCAGCGGTGATGGTAATGGTGGCATAGTGGCGGTGGCGGTGGCGGTGGCGATGGCGGTGGTGGTAACGGCAGTGGCTACGACGATGGTGATGGCGATGGTGGTGGTGGCATGTTATTGGTGGTGATGGTAGCGGTGGAGGCGGTGGCGATGGCGTGGTGATGGTGGTGACGGCAGTGGATACGACATTGATGGTGGCGGTTGGTGGTGGTGGTGGTGGCGATGGTGGTGGTTGGTGGTGGTAGCGGTGATGGCATGGTGGTGGTGGTTGTGACAACAGTGGTTATGGCGATGGCAGTGGTGGTTGGTGACAGTGGTGGTGATGGTAGTGGTAGCGATGGCAGCAGTGGCTGCAATGATGATGGTGGTGGTGGTGACGGTGGTAGTGGTAGTGGTGGTAATGGTGGCATAGTGGTAGATATGGATGGAGGCGGTGGTGATGGTGGGAGTGGCATCATGGCGGTGGTGACGACGATGGTGGTGGTGGTCGTGTCGAAATGATGGTGGTGGTGGTGGTAATGATGGTAGAGGTGGAGAGTGATGGAAAGAGGCAAGTGTTTCTCATTTTGTGCCTGGGAACAAAAAAACAGAAATTTTTTGATTCTTTTTTCTGTTCCCCAGCACAAAAATTAAATCGGTTCATCCCGGGAACAAAAAAATAAACCGATTTTACCAAACGAGTTTCCTATCCATTTTTGTTCCCGGGAACAGAAATTAAAAAAGAACTAATTCCGGGAAGGTTGTTATGTACACCCTTAAAGCCACGAAAACCGAAAATTAATTCTCCAGCTTAACAGTGAAACGTTTCAAATCACGGAAATTGGAACAACAATTCAAACTAACTTTAAAGGGTTTTATAATTCTCATTTAACATAAGAATTACAATTTTCTTACACACCTTTCGATTTTCGTGCTGACATGGGTCCTACATATAATTTTTTCTAACACATGGGTCCCACATGCTTTTTATCTCTACAACATAAGATTTCAATTCTCCTTCAACATGAGAATTATAAAATCCAACTTTAAAACACTAACATCACTTAGATGTGAAAGACCAATGTCTGTTTGAATACTGTTTTTTTAAAAAAAAATTTATTTAAAAAAAAAACTTGTTTAATAAGATTTATTTTATAAAACCTTTTTTTAATATTATAATTTTTTTTATTTTTAGAATCAAATTTAGGGAACATATTTTAGTTATTTTTATTTTATATTTTGACTTTTAATTTTTAAAATAAAAAATACACCGAAAATATTTATTTTTATAATTATTATACAAAATAATTTTAAGAAAAAAAAATCAAAATATAGTCAAACAGACCCCAAAAATCCATATCACGGTCCAATTGTTTCAGTAAAAGGCAAACGTGAAACTAATGTGAAATTGGACAAAAACGACGGTGAAACAAAAGTACGGTTCTTGGTGATAATTTCACAAAATCCAAAAGTGAAAATTCACCAAATCAAACTTATTTCACAAAATTCAAAAAGCTCACACGTGAAAATTTCAGAATGTTTGTATATGTCCCCACGCAGTGATTCACGCACACTAACAAAAAAAATAAGCAGTAACAAAAACCATGATTCACACAAAGTGACAATTGTGTCACAAGTCCATCATTGTCTTCACCCTTCAACTTACAACTGGGTTGCTCTGATCCGGTTTCAACGTAATATAAAAGTTCAATAGATTTTGGTCATTTTAGCTTAAAAATTAATGATTTTTGTTCGGAAATATTAAAAATCCTTATTCCACATAATTTCTAACTCTAATTTCATTTATGAAGCACTAAATATTAAATTGAAAATCAAATTAATTGAGGCACAACCAAAAACACAAACATAAGACACAGGCAAAGAGGGCTCTTATACCAAATGTAAGTTCCAACATAGCTTTATGATCTAATCATGCCTTTAGCTAACATAAAATTAGATTAAATACAGAAAAATTAAGTTATAAATACCTCTCGTCATTGTTTTCGATGCTTGCTCTGATAATGGGTTGAGGTAGTATGTGTGTTTTTTTGTGACTTTTCCAAACTCTAGCTCTCGAGCACAGATGATGTATAGCATTAAACAAGAGTGAGTTTCCAAAAGTCGGAGACAACACCAAAATGTCAGTTTACAGTGATGTACACTTATTGAAATTTTTTGACCGTTGTGACAGTTGTTAAAAAATTGTGGAAATGGTTGCTAAAAATCAATGGAGTGGTTGGATACTCACCTGCTAAAAATCAGTGGATCACATCTTTAACTTATTCGAGGCACACTAATAAGAAGGATTAATTAAGTCATTGAATTTTTCTATTATCAATTATAAGAAATTATATAATCTAGCATATCATAAAACACGTTATCACTTGCCTACAATGCCAAGGCACCCAAATGGTTCAGCAATATTGTACCCATCTTCAGTGCCATCCTTTCTTTTCTTCTTTAACTATATACTAGATATTTTAATATAACTTGGACATGCAATTGAATTTGGAACAATATATGATTAGGTAGTTGAAAATGTTGATGTGCGTGTACATATTTAGTAGCAATACAATACTTGCACATTCTTTCACAGTACTTTCAATATTATAATATAATTGATGATAAAATATAAATAAATCAACACTTTCAATTTAGGACATGTTCAGGTTTTGCACACCATGAAAAGTGCCAACACAAAATAGAATTTAAGACGTACTCTGGCTCTGTACATAATGATAAATTCTAACATGAAATTGTAGAGCTTGCACAAAAAAGAAATCCATGGTTTTGGAATTTTAAAGGGAACATAGGAAGTGAGATGCTAAAATCAGCACTGGCAATTAAGTTAGACATTTTATAAACATTGATATACCTTTCTAACAGTATTGTGCAATGATATACCTTTCTCTTAATTGGTACTGATCTAAACAAAAAATAAAAATAAAAATAAATATAAAATGGGGTCATTCTAAATTGGAAACACTAACTCTGTCTCTTTCAATGGGTTTAATAAAGTTGAATGTTTTACAAATAACGCTTTCATGCCTTTAAAATTCATTAACTAACAACTAAACAGGGAAGTGTAAAGGTGTTGCAGCTTCACCTCCACGACAATCCAATAACACAGAAGCTCCAAGACAATGTCTACTCCAGTTAATATTAATTTCATTTAGAAGCTTAAGAGGATTAAAACAGATAATCCTAATATTAATATTTTGAGTATTTTCTTTTTACATATTTGGTTCCCTTTAATCATTTGCTTGAAATCAAGCCATTATTGTCCTTTGATAAGAATTTTTAACTTCAGTAATACTAATAGGAATAAGGTAATCATATCTATGACTAAAATCCCTCCCGGTTTTGTTCAATTCTAATTTGTTCAAATTGTACTATTTCATTTATGTTATAGCTAAAAACACAGAAAAATGTTATTTAAAAAAAAAAAACACAGAAAAAGAATTAGCATTTTAACTTAGGGATATGATCCGTTTACAATTTTTTTTTGCAAATTACACTAAATACGACCGGTCGTACACTGCATGATTAAAGTAAGACCGATCGTACTTAGTATAGTTTGTAAGCAAAAAAGTTTGTAAATATAATCTGCCATCTTAACTTAATATAGGCCCATTTAATTATTTGGACCTCTTATCTTCATGAACGTTGTTTAGTCTTTTTTATTAGAAAGCCAAAGCCCGCATACATTTACTCTCTCTCTCTACATTTTATATTAATTTCGTGTTAATCTCATGGATCTATGCTTAAGCCTTAAAGTAATGATTTAGCTCTATTTTGTATATTTTTTTTAGGTGATGGACCACCCTGTTATGTGATGCCATGCGTTGCAAGGGAAAGAAAATCTAGCCTTTCTTTAATAACAATATAAGCAATTTCATGCGTTTTACTAATGTGACCAAAAACAAAGGAAATAGATGCATGCCTATCTCTATTTTAGGAATGCTGCTGTCGAGAGGTATACGTCAATGGTTTTTCGGCAACTATATTTGTGTTTATGAATAATGGAGATTGTGACTAGTCAGAGATAAGCCTTTAGAAAGAAGAGACCAAAGAAAGGTTACATTACATTAATTGAAAGCAAGACTAAGCAAAACATATTTAATGCAAATATTAATACACAAGGAACTTGGGTTGTATTCAAAGTTCGTTGAACCCGATTTATGTTTTTCAATTCTTCCATCCACTCCTATTTACGCGGATTTCCGCAAACAACGGTAATTTCCATCCACACCAGACTAGCACACCGGGATCAGAGGAGAAAGGCTCACTAAAGGATTTTGTACTGCTTTAGTTTATTGGTTAAATAAATTTTTTGAATAATTTTGTTCGATATTATGCTGTTTGGATATATATTTAATTTATGAATCTTTAAGAAATTATTAGTGTTGTTGATCGTATATTTTGTTTGGATAAAATTTTGTTGTCTTATTTTTTTAACAGACTAAGCCAGACTTTTAATTTTTGTAAATAAGGCAGGCCACAAGCCGATAATTATATTCAT